TGTACTTTCTTTTATTATTAATGCGCTGGAATTCCATCACAAGTGTGACATAGTAGGTGCTAATTGGGGTAGCTCCCTAATTGGAAGCTCCATGTTTAATGGGCTATTTTTAAAGGAAGGAAACCCGTTCTATGCGTAATCAAAAATTATTATTTAATAATTAATATTCCTAGTTATGATTCAAAGGTCAGTTGACTTGTGATTGTATGGCGAGCATGTTTTAACTATTTTATTTGATGCTAGGATATTCATGTTAGTGTGGTGCATATGTACTCCGGTTTTGCTGATTTGTACTTTTGTGATTGTGTTTGGTTTTCCTTTGGATCGGCCCTACTATGACCCATTTATATGGTGAGTAGAGGGTTGAAATAAACAGAAAGTAACAGGTACATGAAGCATGATGAGCATGATGGGAATAAGTGCAGAGAGTTACTTGTTACGTTTCTTAGTTTTGATTTTTTTGAATTATTGGTTTGTTTATGGACTAAAGTTATTGTGTTTATTTTTAATTGGTTTTTAAGAAGGGTCATGTTTGAATTGGTTCCAACTTGTGAATGTTTTATTCTACTTTCGTTTTGAGGTTGTGAACTCAAGTTTTATTTTGAAAGATGGTTTTTAGTTTTAAACTTCCGCTGTGTGACTTTGAAAATTAGCCTTAGCCGTTATCACGGTGGCGATAATATTTTGGCTATTTCCTAAAAAGGGTTTTATATTGAATAAAATGAGCATTTTAAAAGAAGGAAATTTCCAGGGTATTATAAAGTAGTATCAGAGCTTTGGTTGGATTTTAATTACCACTAAAGCCATAAACGTTTTTTCAAGGTACCTATGTTTTGAAGCTTGACCAAGTGCTTATTTAATCAAGTTTGAAAATATTTTTAAGAAATCCGATTTATTTTTTTCAAAGGGCCAAAAATTTCTATTTTTTTTTATTTATTTGGTCGGAATTTTTTTTAAAAATAATAAGGGCCAAAATTATTATTTTTTTTTTATTTAAGGGGTCCGAATTTTTTATTATTATTATTTTCGGACAACTAATTTCGAAATATAAAGTTCCATTTAAAAATAAAAATTATGTGTGCAGGTATGCGAAGGAATTAAGGTATGTAATTATGTCTTAATTGCTTTTGAAAGCATGTGGAGAGATTAGGTAGGAAAGAAAGGGATATAGGTTAGAATTTTATGTCTTCCTATGTGCATATTTTATTTATGTAAGATGTTCAAGCATGTTCTATGATAATATGTATCTATGTGAAAGCATATTTATGTGTAATAATCTAAATTGTATGATTAAACACCAAACTTAAATTTTAGCAAGGAATTGTATACTTGATGGAAAAGGAATTTTTCTTTATTGAGTCATAACCCGAAATACCTTGCAGGATGTTTGACTTACCTAGTAGATTCACTACCACGAGTACTTTAGTAAAGAAGGACTACGAGCATGTGTGGGATTATATTCGCAGGATTCGCTTTTACTGTACTTATAGATCGGATGTGTTTGGGGAGCGTCATCTTGACCAACCAGACTATATCTCTACCACGATTGTTAATTGTTTGCCTAATTATCCTGCCTATAAAGCTATTAAGAGTCGCTTTCGTGATTTTCATTTGCCTAATGGTGTAGCTAACTATACTAAGTATAAGGACTCTAATGGTCAGTGGGGAGCAAATTGGAGATATTTATACCGTTACATTGCTCACAAAGAATTCATTTACCTTAACCCTCAATATGCTTCTTATCCTCCGCCTTACCATAACTTTGGTGATCCACCTCCACAACAAAATGCACCTTATTACTCTTCAGAAAATGATGATCCCATGTCTAAGTCAAAACCTGAGCAAACTTATGAGAGCCAAGGTGAGCCAATGGAGCAAGATAATGAGTTTGGGGATACTTCATGCAAAATCATTCCTAATCCAAATCCTCTAAGCCTTCCAGTAATCATTAACTTAGAATCTGATGAGTCTGGCGAAGTCCCTGAGGAAGAAATGGATCCCGAGGCAGATGATGATGATGGTGGTGGTGGCAATAATGGTGATAATGGGAGTGATCCTGAGTATAATCCAAAGAAGTACAAGGAGATAAAAGACAAGATTGACTTTGTCAACATTTGAATATTTTAGACTAACTTTCCTTTAGTGTTTTGAGTATTTATTTCATTCTTTACTCATAGTTACAGTTTAATAAAGTACTGTGTGAGTAATAAGTGGCAAAGCTACATTTGGGATATTCCAAACATTTCTTTTCAATATTTCAATAAAGTATTATTTATTCTTTTTATATTTATTTCCACCTTCAAACAACCTTATCAAACATCACTTATTACTTTTATTTTCTGTAAATGGTATCAAGGGATATTACTCAAAAATATTTTTGGTGATGTGTTTACTTAAGTGAAATGGTTACATGACAACTAATACAATGTGCTGAAGATATTGTGGCTACCGATAGGCAGAAAGCTCGAATGTTTGAGAGGGGATTGCCTCTTTCTCTCCAAGGCAAGTTGTCAAGGCAAGTGTTAGACAATCTTCATGAGTTGTATGGTAGGGCAGCGCATCTACATGCGTTGAAGTTGAAGGAAAAAGATGAAAAGGCTGAATTAGAAGCTAGGGAGAAGAGAAAGGAGCCTATGACTAGTTCTGGACCATCTGGGAACCAAAATAACTTTAACAAGCAAAATTTTAACAACCACCAAAGTAATAACTTCCAAAACAATAGGAACAACCAAGGTGAGCGCAATTTTCCTAAGGGAAATAGGAACCAGCCTGGGGATCGTAACTAGAGGATATATTACTGTAAGAGATGTTCCAACAACCACCCAAGGAAAGACTATGAGGGTAATTTAGTCACTTGTAACCTGTGCAACAAGCAAGGGCACAGGGCATATGAGTGTTTCTCTAAGAATAAAAGGGGTCAAGGAAACAACCAATTAAAGGGTAGTGGATAGAACTGGAATCAGCAGAAAGGAGGTCAGGGTAGCAATGGGAATCAAGTGAACAAGGGGGCGCAGTTTCAGAATGGAAATAAGAATACCAATAGTGGTAACACACAAGTCAAGGTTAGAACACCAGGAAAGCTTAATGTGTTGGGTTCGCGTGAGGCTGACGCAGCGAGAGATGTCATTACTGGTACATTTTTTATATTCTCAGTTCCTATTAAAGTTTTGTTTGATTCTGGTGCAACATATTCTTCCATTTCTAAAGTTATGCTTCCAAAACTATCGCATTGTCTGAAAACTGTAGATGACATAGATATTCTTATAGAACTTCCAACTTGGGGTGTAGTTTATTGTACTACGACCTATAAGGATGTTCACATAAAGATTAAAGGTAAGGAATTCCTATCCAACCTGATTGAATTTGAACTAGGATACCTTGAGATAATTCTGGGAATGGATTGGTTATGTCGTTATCATGCTGAGATTCGATGTCAGTCACAGAAAATCCACTTAAAAACGGCTCAAGGAGAGATCGTAACCCAATGGAGGCATGGAAAACCCTGGCATACTAAGATCATTTCTGTGATGAAGGTTGCAAAATATATGAATAAGGGAAACCCAATCTATTTTTGTAGTGTGAGAAACTTGGAGTATGAGGAACCATCTAAACCAGAGGATATTGAAGTAGTAAAGGAGTTACTAGATGTGTTTCCAAAAGAGATTCTGAGTATGCCACCAAAAAGAACCATAGACTTTACCATAGACTTAGTACCTTGAACAACACCTATCTCAAAGGCACCATGAAGGATGGCGCCTGCTGAGATGAGTGAATTAAAAAGTCAAGTACAGGATTTATTAGAGAAGGGATACATACGACCAAGTGCATCACCATGTGTATTGTTTATGAAGAAGAAATATGGTAGCATGAGGCTTTCATTTATTATAGGGAGTTAAACAAGGTAACCGTAAAGAACAAATACCCTTTGCCTAGGATAGATGACTTGGTTGACCAATTGAAGATGTAGTAGTGTTTTCTAAGATTGATTTGAGGTCTGGATATCATCAACTTTGAATTGCGGAAGAGGATATTCCGAAAACGGCATTTAGGACGAGATATGGACACTATGAGTTTATAGTAATGCCTTTTGGGTTGACAAATGTGCCTGCAATATTTATGGACTTGATGAATAGAGTGTTTCAACCTTTCCTAGACCAATTTGTTGTCGTATTTATTGATGATATTTTGGTTTATTCAAAGAATAAAGAGGACCATGTAGAGCATTTGAGATCAGTATTAGGTACTTTGAGGACTAACCAGTTGTATGCCAAATTCTCGAAGTGTGAGTTTTGGCTAGAGAAGGTAGCATTTTTGGGACATATTGTATCTAAGGAAGAAGTGGAGGTAGATCCTGCAAAGATTGAAGCGGTGAAGGGGTGGCCTACACCCAAGAATGTATCGGATATTGAAAGCTTCTTAGGTCTAGCAGGATATTACACGCATTTGTGAAGAATTTTTCAAAGATAGCTAGACCTATGACTTCGTTGATGAAGAAATAATCTAAGTTCATTTGGAGTGATAAGTGTGAAGAAGCGTTTCACACCTTGAAGAAGAGTTTGACTACAGCACCAGTGTTGACTTTACCTGATAGGAGTGGTTCTTATGATGTATATAGTGATGCATCTAAGAACGGACATGGGTGTGTTTTGATGCAAAATGGGAAGGTGATTGCTTATGTATCGAGACAATTTAAGAAACATGAAGTTAACTACCCTACTCATGATCTATAATTGGCAGTAATAGTGTTTGCGTTGAAAACATGGAGACATTATTTATATGGAGTAAAATGTAGGATATTCACAGACCATTAAATTTTGAAGTATCTTTTCACGCAATCAACCTTGAACATGAGACAACGTAGGTGGCTAGAATTCTTCAATGATTATGAAATAGATATCCAATACTACGAGGGTTAAACGAATGTAGTCACGGATGCTTTGAGCCGCAAAGCAACTCATGGGGTGAATGCTTTGATAGTGGCAAATAAACTTTGTAAGGAAATGAGTAAGTTGAACCTCGAGGTAGTACCACATAGAACGTTGGAAGGAATGCTTGATAATTTGAGTATCCAACCAACGATATTCGATGAGATTAAAGATAACCAAGTAGGGGATGTGAAATTAGATCGCATAAGAGAGAAGATTAAGCAAGGAAAGGCGACTGATTTCAAAGTCCATGATGATGGGAGTACTCGATTCAACGGGAGGTGGTGTGTACCACAAAAATGTGAGGAGTTGAAGAAGAAGTTGATGGAAAAAGGGCATAATACACCCTATTCAATACATCTAGGAGGAAATAAGCTTTACAAAGACTTGAAAAAGGTGTATTGGTGGCCTAAGATGAAGAAGGAAGTAGCAGAGTTTGTATAGTAGCCAAGTGTCTAACCTGTCAGAAAGTTAAGATAAAGCATAAGAGACCACAGGGAACAGTACAACCACTCGAGATCCCGGCTTGGAAGTGGGATTGCATCTTGACGGATTTTATCACTAGCTTACCTAAGTCTAAGAATGGGAATAATACCATCTGGGTTATGGTGGATAGACTTACCAAATCAACAGTGTTTATACCAATGAAAAAGAATTGGAAAATGGAACAACTTGTAAAGGCTTACATAGAAAATGTTTTGAGACTACATGAAGTTCCTAAGGACGTTGTTTCAGATAGGGATTCTAAATTTCTTTTGAAATTCTGGAAAAGTGTTCAAGAGAACTTTGGTACGACATTGAAGATGAGTATAGCATTTCACCCTGCAAAAGATGGAAAATCTGAGAGGACTATCTAAACCTCGGAAGATATGTTAAGATCATGTGTGTTAGATTACCAATGTGGAAAGAAGATAGCTTAAACTTGGTAGAATTCTCTTACAATAATAATTACCATGCAAGCATTGGCATGCCACCTTTTGAGGCCTTGTATAGAAGGAAGTGTAAGAGTCCACTATGTTGGAGTGACATTAGCGAGACAATAATTCTATGTCCTCAATTGATAGAAGAAACAATGAAGCAAGTGAGAGAAACCCACGCTAAGATTCAAGCTGCCCAAGATAGACAAAAGAGTTACGCATATTTAAAGCATAGGGAAGAGGAATTTCAAATAGGTGATAAGGTTTTTCTTAAGGTTTCACCAATGAAAGGAGTGATAAGATTTGGGAAAAAAAGCGAAGTTGAGTTCAAAGTACATTAGACCATATGAGATTTTGCAAAGAATGAGAAAAGTTGCTTATAGATTGGCATTGCCTATGGACCTCAACAAGGTACACGATGTGTTTCACGTTTCTCAATTGAAAAAGTATATCCTAAACAAGTCGCATGTCCTATAACTTGAAACCATAGAACTAAACCAAAGCCTAACCTATGAGGAAAGACTTGTAAGGATTTTTGATAGTAAATTACGTAGAACACGCAAAAAAGATGTCAAGATAGTAAAGGTTTTGTGGACGAATCAAGAAACTGAGGAAACAACATGGGAAACTGAGGATGAAATGAGAAAAAAGTACCCAGAATTGTTTGAGGTTAGTTGAGTTATGGGGACGTAACTCATTTTCTTTAAGGGGGGTAGAAGAATGCGGTAGAATTTCGCGCTTTTTACCTTATTTTCAAGCATTTTTATTATATTTTATAAAATTTTATACAAAAATTAGAAAGAAAGAGATCAAGAAAGGTTACAAAAAGTACAACAACAATAAGTATTAAGAAAAGATTTTACTAAGTGGGTGAAAAAGTACAGTTTTAAATAAGTTTTGAACAAAGTTTTATGATTTTCGTGCCCTCGAAACTTCTTTTACGGGGGGTAGACTGTAATACTCCATATTTTTCTAATATATATATATATGTGTGTGTGTGTGTGTGTGTGTGTGTGTGTATATGTGTGTGTGTGTGTATATATATATATATATATATATATATATATATATATATATATAAGTGTGTATAAATAATATGAGTCATTCATTGAGGCAATAAAAAAGTTTTGAATTGGGTCATCCTTATTTAATGGTTGGATCAACTTGTTGGGAAATTGAGGACACTTAAAAGCCCAACAAGTTGGCCCCAAAGGAAAAGTTAAGGGAGAATAGGACTTAGTAATGGCAGTCTTGTAATTATAAGTTTTTGTTTCAAAAGAAGAGCATGAATAATTAAAAACCCCAAGGTTTTCACTCGAAAGTCATAATTGTTAGATTTAACAAAAACCCCAAAAATTTTCTCTTTATTTTCTCTCTCCTTTTTCTCTATTCTTTTTCCTCTCTTTTCCCACGCCTCTCTCTCCCTCTTCTCCTCCCCTCACGTCCGAGAGCCAACCGGCACCACCACCAGCCACCGACGACCACCGGTGGCCAGCAACAGCAGCCGAAGACCACCGCCGGCCACCCTCCTTCTCTCTCCTTTTGTTTTTGGTTCAGTATTGTATAAAAAAATTAAAAAAAAATAAAAAAAATCTTTTCTCTTCCTAATTTAATTCTAGTTGTTTTCATTTTTAAAACATGGTTTTGATTATATTTTGGTGTTGATTTTGGATATTTTATGTTGTTAAATTATTCCTATAATTTTCATATTTTTATTTAATCAAAAACCCTAATTTACAAACCCTGAAATTTGGGAATCTATTGTATATGGTTAGGGTTTGATCCTAGGTTTTTGTTATTGTTGTTTAATAAATGGTTCAAACATGTTTTTAATGAGTTTAAGGTCCTCAATTTATTGCTGGAATTTAATTATACACACTACTTTTAATTATTGTGTTAGGGTTTGATTACCCATAAAAAGGGAAAATGTTGTAATGATTAAAATATGATTTTCTAGTCTATTAGTTATGTTTTATATTAAATAAGTGTGCTGGAATTTTATTTAAGTCACAAAAACTAAGACTTTTTGAACGGATTTAAAGTACCCAATTAACGAAAAGGTTTTATTGCTTTTATGTCATTAAATTGGGTTAATTAGTTCGGTTTAAAGTGTATTATAGTTGCTGGAAATTTGTGAGAATATTGGATATAGTTATGTATTCTTAAATGTAGGAAGCTTAGAGTTAGGTGATTTCTAGCGAGTGTGGCCGAGATTAGGCATTATCAAGGTGCGTATGTGCACAAGAATATTTGTGTATACGTAGTATCATGCGAGGATTGTAAAGTATGATTTAAGTGATGAATTAGTAGCATGTTTGGTTGATTATGTGCTTGGAATTGATGTTGGTTGAGCATGAATTGTTATGCAAGCATATGAATATATTACTTGAGGCATGATACAAGTTGAATATGTATGAATCATGGAAGTATGTTTTATTTTCAAGTATCAAGAAAGCATGAATTTAAGATGCAAGGCTTATGTATGTTAAAAAGAGCTAAAATTAGAATTATTGAGCATGATTCATGAATTCATTTCTCACCCATTTGCTATTGGTGTTGAGTCAAGAAGTTAATTTATTTATTTACTTGCTCATGTAAGTTGAGTTTGAGTCAAGGAAGTTTAGTAGTACATATTAAGCACCAAAGTAGTAATCGTGCAATTTTGTGCACAAAACTAGGCAAGGAACCTTAATTAAAATAAATAGTATGTGCTCTCTAAATAATTCAAGAATGAATTGGAAGTTTTTATTGATTGTTGTCATGTTTATTCTTGATTGTTTGGTTGGAGTCATCACAAAATAATTGATAAATCACGTAAAGTGTAAGAGGATACGCACCAAAACTCTCGAAACGTATATACCTTGAGTATGAACATATGGCGGGGTTATGGGGTTTTGTATTTAACCATACCTTTTACAGGGGTACAAGATGCTGTACTTTCTATTATTATTGCGGCGTTGGAATTCTATCACAAGTGTGACATAGTAGGTGTAAATTGGGGTAGCTCCCTAATTTGAAGCTCCATATTTAATGGGCTATTTTTAAAGGAAGGAAACCCGACCCGTTCGATGAGTAATCCAAAGTTATTATTTAAAAATTAATATTGCTAGTTATGAGTCAAAGGGAAGTTGACTTGTGATTGTATGGCGAGCATGTTTTAACTATTTTATTTGATGCTAGAATATTCATGTTAATGTGGTGCATATGTACTCAGCTTTTACTAATTCGTACTTTTGTGTTTGTGTTTGGCTTTCCTTTGGACCGTCCCTACTATGACCCATTTATATGGTGAGTCGAAAGCTGAAATAATGATTAAGTAACAGAATTATTGGTTTGTTTATGGACTAACGTTATTGTGTTTATTTTTAATTGGTTTTTAAAAAGGGTCATGTTTGAATTGGTTCTAACTTGTGAATGTTTTAATCTACTTTCGTTTTGAGGTTGTGAACTCCAGTTTTATTTTGAAAGTTAGTTTTTATTTTTAGACTTCCTCTGTGTGACTTTATAAATTAGCTTTAGCCGTTATCACGGTAGCGGTAATACTTTGACTATTTCCTAAAAAGGGTTTTATTTAGAGTATAATGAGCATTTTTAAAAATAGGAAATTTCAAGGGTATTACATAAGCCCACAGCCACCACAAATCCAGCGCCACCCACCACACACACACACATCACACACGCACACGCATCAGCCACACCCACCACCACCACCACTGAACCCTAACCTAGACCCACCTAACCCAAACCGTGATCGAACCCTAACCAAAACCCCACCAAACCCAAACCCAAACCCAAATCCACCCACCTAAAACACCCAAACCCTAAACAAAACCCTGACTGAACCCACACCCAAACCCAACCACCTAAAACCATCAACACAAACGGCCCAACCAAACACCACAGCCGAAAAATTAAATAAAAAAATCAAAAACAAAAATTAAAAACATTAAAACGTACCTTCAAAATCGAATTAGCTTCGAATTTCACCTCGAACTTGGTTTAATAAGGCCAAATTCGACCATGAATACTCTAAAACTAGCATTTTCATGGTCGAATTTGACCATAAAAACCATTAATTTGTTTTAAACCATCACCATTATCGGCTTTAACCCACCACCAGAGAAAGAGGGCGTGAGAAAAACCAGAAAAGAGGAAAGGAGAGGGGCATGAGAAAAAATCAGAGAAGAGAAGAAAAGGAGAGGGGCGTGAGAAAAAATCAGAGAAGAGAATGGCCGTGAGAAAAGAATGGGGAAGAGGAGAGGAGAGAGAAAGTGAAGAGCAAGAGATGAGAGAGAAATAGAAGATGAGAGGAGAGGAGAGGAGAGAGAAACAGAAGAGAGGCGGAGAGAGAGAAGAGACGAGGAGAGAGAAATGAATGGGGAAGGAGGGGCGCCGTTTTAATTAGGGTTTTGAGGTTTTTTTTTTATTTTGATTTTTTTCTAACCATAATTTCTTCGGAAGGGGTTTAAATTCCGTTGGAAATTTTCGATGAAATTAATATCTGTCGGAAAATATAACATTTTCGACGAATTTTCCATCGGAAATAAATAATTTTCCGACAGATTAAAATTCAATCTGAAATTTCCGACAGATGTTCGATGGAAATAAAATCCGTCGGAAATTTTGTACTTTCCAACGGATTTTCGTGTCCGTCGAAATTTGACTATTTTCTAGTAGTGTACTCACACATGATAATTAAATAAATAAAAAAAACAATAGGAAAAACATAATATTAAGTTTTACAAAAATAAATAGAAAAATAAAGTACTTGAATTGAATAAATCTTCAATGGAACGACAAAGTTTGGAAGAACAAAGGAGAAGAACAACGAACGTAAAACAAAAATAATAAATATATGAAAAACCTAATTATTTATCTTCCTATTAAGCAGCTATTTATATCATAGTACAAAACTAAAAAATACTATCTTCTTATTACAC